TAGCTTCCACCCTTGGTTTATATATGTTTATACCATGCTGGCTAATAGCTTCCACCCTTAGTTTATATATGTTTATACCATGCTGGCTAATAGCTTCCACCCCTGGTTTATATACGTTTATACCATGCTGGCAAATAGTTTCCCCCCATGGTTTATATATGTTTATATAGGGCATTGGCAATGTACACTGATGTTTACGGAGTAAATATTATTATTTATGAAGGTCATTGATAAGCAGAGCATTCCATTCTGTAAATTGATGTTGAAGGCAGTTGGCAAGAAGACCAGTCTACTATACAGGAGGGGGTAAATAAAAGACAAATTAAATTTTTAATAATATCTTTTTTAATAATATCTGTACTGAGTGCCACAGACCATGCACAGGGAGCCAGGGAAAGCTGTGGGCAATTTTTCAGTATTTCTGTCTTAAGAATAACTCAAGTTCAAAAAGAATGTTAGTTCGCCAGATAAACACTGCCTATGGTCATGTTCACAAAATACATTTTCTTGTCACCAATTAGTTTCTATTTTCCCAGAGCGTAGATTGTCGCCTCATTGAAGATGTATTGTTTACATACAAGCTGTAAAATAGATGAATCATTTTAACATTCCACAAAGTTTATCTTTTTAATGACATTATATGGATATTCTGAATATTATGTTACAGTCCATGTGAAATGTACATAATTTATTTATACTAAATTGTCAGAGATCACAAGTTTCTTGATGCCAAAATCAGTCTTAATCTTGAAAATCCAGGCACAGAGAGCGTGTTTGGCTCATGAATACATGTATACTCTTTGAAACAAAGTCCCAAAGAATGTAATAAGAAAACAAATGACAAATTCATAACTTAATTGAAGAAACCAAACAAAATCCAATAACTTGGCTTGTACATGGGATAATAATATTATTCTCTATTATTTTTTCTTCATTCAGCTGAGAAAATATTCGCAATGTAAAAGCCATATCACTACTCGTCTTCATCTTTTAGTGATATGGCTGTTACATCACTCATATTTTCCCCAGCTGGAGACAAATATTAAGAAATAGTATGCCCACAGCCAGACGTTATTTTTTCCATTCTTTTATTGAATGTTAAGTCTTAAATGCTGTTGTATTACAGAGAGTCTAGAGACGTTTTTTGCACAGAATTGTAATGTGAAATACACATATATACAGAGACAAAACATAGGGTCATAGACCTCGTTGTTGAGATAATTGCATGTTCATTTCTCCCCAGTTATGCAATTTATTTTGTAAATAAGATTTATAGAAAGAAAGTAAAAGGTGAAAAGCATTTCCCCTGAGATCAATGCATGATAAATTTTGAGACATTAAAGAATAATTGCTTGTATCATAGTGAAACAAGCCATGCATGGCACAGTCCCCGTTAGTTATAAAATTTAAGATATATAGTTTTGTTTATAGTAATATAGTTGGAATATAACCATGTCAGGAATATGATTTTTTAACATTAAAATGATTGACATTTGTATCTGATCGTCAAACGAGTACTTGTCCATATTGAGAGATATTGCTCTGGAACAGCATTCAAAATCAGCCATTTTAAATATATGTATATATATAACATGATATATAACGAATATATAAAATTTGAATATAATCAGTTGAAGCATTTAAGAGATATGGCTCTAGAAGCCCAATCATTAAAACAAAATGGCCGCCAGTCAGCCATTTTGAATTCCAATCTGAAAAATAAAATGACATGCATCAGGAACCCGTAATGTCTAATGTATGTACCAAGTTTGAACGAAATCCATCCATAAATGCCAGAAATGCTTGATATTTGATGATTTTTTAGCACAAAAATGACCACCATTCGGCCATTTTGAATATTATCGTCAAACCAATATATTTGTTTATCTATGACATGATGTATAATGAATATTTAAAATTTGAACATAATCAGTCACAACAAGTTGGAGATATGGGTCTAGAAGCCCATTCATTAAAACAAAATGGCCGCCCGTCGGCCAATTTGAATCTTATCTGAAAAACAAAATTATTTGCATCAAAGTCCCATAATGTCTAATGTATATACCAAGTTTGAACAAAATCCATCTGTAAACAGTCGAGAAATGCTTGATTTTTAGGATTTTTTAGCACAAAAATGGCCGCCATTTGGCCATCGTGAATCAGATCATGAAACAAAATGGTGTGCATGAAGGTTCTATAATGTCCAATGTATATACAAGGTTTGAACAAAATTCATCTGTAAGCAGCTGGAAAATGCTTGATTTTAATGATTTTTTAGCACAAAAATGGCCACCATTCGGTCATTTTTAATAGGATCGTCAAACCAATATATTTGTGTATCTATAATATGATCTATAATGAATATTTAAAATTTGAACATAATCAGTCAAAGCAAGTCAGAGATATAGCACTAGAACCACATTCATTAAAATAAAATGGCCGCCAGTTGGCCATTTTTATGATGATGATGATGATGTGCAAAATCAATCTGTAAACAGACGAAAAATGCTTGATTTTGATGATTTTTAGCACAAAAATGGCCAAATGGAAGCACGGACGCACGAAGGTCAAAACATAAGTCCCCGTTTTCGGACTGCGTCCGAACGGGGACTGAAAATTAAAGCCCTTTATTTTGCAAATATTTTTGTGCTAGGTGACAGTCAAATTTTGCAAACTGTATTCCATGCTTCTAATCTAACTAAACTATCTGCCACAACATAACAAGATTTTCCTCAGCTAGAGAATGAATGTTGGCCAGTGGCTTTAGTTTTTTTTATTGATTCAGTCTTTGCCATATTCTTTTGTGCTGATCAATCCTAGGGTGTATTAGAACGAAAAAATACTTGATCGTCATTCAAAACATTATATGAACATGAGTTGCAATTTTTCAGTTGCACTGAACATGATAAATTAATAAATCAATTTCTTGTAGTAATGTAATAATTATTATCAGGAGAATTGGGACACACCTGCTACTCTTATCAATTAATTGACAGCCAGTCAAATTTCACTCTAATATTAATAAGAATAACACTATAAGCATTTTGTCACAGCCTGATTCATGTCTTTTGGGGTTACTAGTCCATGTCACAGCACGCGTGTGGCAGTTACTGATTTACATATGAACACAAGTGTTGTAGTTTACTGATTTACATATGAATACAAGTGTGGTGGTTTACTGGAATACACATGTGGTGGTTTACTGGTTTACATATGAATACACATGGGATAGTTTACTGATTAACATATGAATACAAGTGTGGTGGTTTACTGATTTACATATGAATACACATGTTGTAGTTTACTGATTTACATATGAATACAAGTGTGGTGGTTTACTAATTTACATATGAACACACATGTTGTAGTTTACTGATTTACATATG